GGATTGCCTATAAATAGGGGTGAAGGGGGGGCCGTGAGGAGTTGAGGTTCTAGAGAGAAGTTTTAGAGAGAAGGTCTCTGGGTCAGTGAGCTCCTTTCTCTCCCAAATTTCTCTGTTTAACTCCTTTTCTCCTCTAGATCAATAACTCCTTCTGTCTTTTCTTGAAATTCAGATTAGAAAGCTTGTTTTGGGAGGACTGAAGTTCCGAGTTGAGCCTCGAGGGGAAATTCTACTTTTGTTCAGTCTTTGGCTATCTGAGCCAATCTTCAGGTAAGGGAAGCTAGAATGTTTGTTGTGTAGGTTGCATGTGAGTTTAGAAACTCAATAGGTGCGTGAATGTTGAGAATCCATAGATGATTGAAGAAAATCTCATCTTTTGGGGTTTTGAGAGGATTTTGATGATTTTGATGCATAGGTTGGATGCATGTGAGATTTGAGTTTATTTTGAGTTGTATGGAGCCTATGTATTGTGTTTTGTGTTTGCATGTGGCTGAATTTGTTGGTTTGGATGAGAGTTTCTGAACTCTCTGTCTGGGATTAGGCTAGGCGCAGGTTGAGTGCGCCAGGCATGGAAGAGCTTAGGGCTCTCAAGTTGGATGTTGGCGCAGACGTGATTTGGTTGCGTCAATCGTGGATACTCTTAAGAGTCTCTGTTTCAAGGACACCGAGCGTGAGTTGAACGCGCTGGGCGTGGATGAGTTTTAGGACTCTCAGGTTGGGATTAGGCTGGGCGAGCTCAGGCTACGCCGAGCGTAAATATGTTTAAAAATAATTATTTTAAATTGATGCTTATGCATGTTTAAAGTTAAAATGTTAGATCATATATGTGTGATATATGATGTATGGTGCGGTGTGATTCATATGTATGCTTTGTGATGATACGTATGAATGTTTGAATATGAGTATGCTTATTGATCATAATGGTGGGTAGACCATGTATGATGTATGATGCATTATTGCATGTGATGTCTTATGACATGTGTATGATTGTTGATCATGATGGTGGGCAGACCATTATGATGTATGATGCATTATTGCATGTGATGCCTTATGGCATGAGTCTAGCCTAGGACTTGAGGAGAGGAAAAATGTTTTCGAACTGGAAGAGCTCACATAGAGTCTCTTGAGAGTGGTGCTTGGATAGGCCACTGATATATGAGAGTGGTGCTCTGGGAGGCCACTGGATTTGGGAGAGTGGTGCTCAGATAGGCCACTGGGTTGGGTGAGTCTCCTCTAAGTCCTTAGCTAGTGTTGGAGCGGGGTATGAGGTCGAGGGTTATTCCCTTAACCAAGTACTCGGGAAGGTGCGTGGATCCTTGCGGATAGTCGGTGGGCGAACTCCACTATTGACTTGGTTAATGCATGCCAAGGTCGTGGTAAGCCCGTACCCAGCTGTGCTATACCTGACGGTGGATCTGGACTTCCAAGTGTGTAAGTGACATCATCCGAGTAAACCCGAGTGAGGATTATATATCCTGTTTAGCTGTGACCGAGCGGGCGCATTGGGCGTGAAAACGGTTGGGGTGGTTTCGGTAGGATGGAATGTCACTTATACAGCTCTATTGTTGTGGAGATCTCCTAGGTGTATGCGTGACGACGCATTAGATGATTGATATGCATTGATATCTGTCATGAGATGCATTTATTGCATGATTATTAATATGATGAAGTGTGGTGTTTGACTTCATGATTGGTGCATTGTATGTTATGCATGAGTAGTATTGGATAGAGTGTATGGTGAGACTCTATGAATATGATTAATGGTTGGATGATTGTGTAGTATAGATTATAGTTCTATACTTGTATGATTGATTTGTGAATTATAGCTTACCTTTCTGCTTCCATGTGTGGAACTGCGATGATCATACTTGGTATGAGAGCAGGTTAGGGCTAGCTTGGAGTTGAGGTGTCCGTTGCGAGACGGAAAGTTTTGATCCTCGTGTTGGAGTTATCATTTTGGGTAACGGTTTTGTCTGTACTTGAGCTGTACTAGGGAATATTATTTTTGGGATGACTGTACATATATGAAATTTTATTTTATAACCAAAAATTTAGATAATTTATTTTTATTTGTACATGTATGTATGAGTTATCCAGTTTAATATTTCTCTTAGTTCACTAGCAGTAATGCGATTCCACTAAGTGTAGAGATTATGGCGGGTCGTTACAATTAGTATATATTAAATATGAAACAAATATATTATAATAATAATTTTAGTTGTTTTCATGATGTGCATTAAATATATGATATGATATGATTAATGTTTATCCTACTCTTATCATATTCTACTATCATATCTTGATTATGAAATCAGTCTTTAATGTATACCAAATCTTACATACAATTATAATTTATTTTACTTTTTTTTATATCCTATTCTCATTCTTATGGCATATCTAATCTTAACATTTTTTTACAAGATATTTTATCTTAACATAACCACCCAATAAATCCTTTGAACACGTTTTATAATTTTCTGAGTTTCGAAAAGCAATATACAAAACACAACCTTTTACAACAAAATTTTGTGCATTACTGCATTTAGGTTTTACTGTGAAGTGGGGGAACCAACTGTATTCTACGTTGGCAGAGTTGGGCAATTTTGAGCAGGACACGGGTTTGGGTTTTTTCTGAAAAAAAAAAGCCCAACTAAAGGCAGCCCAAAAGAGTTCCGATCCCAATTTCAAACGCTAAACGACGCTAACACGACACTAGTGCCACGCCGGTCACGAACACGACGACGCAACGCACGCGGAACACAATAATAGTTCTTTGAGCTTAATTTTGCTTTGAAATTATTCAAACCACTGAATGAAGTAGTGAATATTTTGTAGATTAGCATAATCGTTGCTTAAAAATCAGTAATTCATTCAGTTGTATGTTGCTGAAAATTTAACCAATTCTTAAAACTATTATTGTCCTAATTATTGTATATGGGTCTTTGTTTATGTAAGTGTACCTACAAAGGGGTACACCAATAATCTTCTCGTAGTATGAAGGCCGAACGAGTGCTCCAATCCGATGTGAGTAGAGGGGTTGGTACCTGCAAAAGGCACTCCAACGCTCAAGTCAGGACAAGCACAGATATCTAGGATAATTAATGAACAGTGACGTTACCTTTTGACCTGAGCTATTTATACTGACATTTATGGGCCCTGGACCCCATGGGCCCTGCAACGTATTTACCGTATCAGGTAATACACCTTAATCATCTGATTAACCCCTAATCACGGGTTAAGAGCAATGAGTAATGATAGTTCGGTCCTGGTGGCCGATTGCCGTTCGGCCACCAAGTACTGCCATTCGGCGGCCGACCTCTCTCGCTGCTGTTTCATCAACTCCATTTCCTGTTTCAACAATCGAACCGTTTCGGAAAGATCCGTTTCATCAACAACCTCCACACGTTCCTCATTTTGATGGTCTTGAGTGTTTGTTCTCCTAGTTATCGCCATTACACTTAGTTAAACTTCCAATTACCTTCGTTCGGCCCCACGGTGGGCGCCAAATGTACCTACAAAGGGGGTACACCAATAATCTTCTCGTAGTATGAAGGCCGAACGAGTGCTCCAATCCGATGTGAGTAGAGGGGTTGGTACCTGCAAAAGGCACTCCAACGCTCAAGTCAGGACAAGCACAGATATCTAGGATAATTAATGAACAGTGACGTTACCTTTTGACCTGAGCTATTTATACTGACATTTATGGGCCCTGGACCCCATGGGCCCTGCAACGTATTTACTGTATCAGGTAATACACCTTAATCATCTGATTAACCCCTAATCACGGGTTAAGAGCAATGAGTAATGATAGTTCGGTCCTGGTGGCCGATTGCCGTTCGGCCACCAAGTACTGCCATTCGGCGGCCGACTGGCGGTGGCCGAACGCCCCTACCCGTACAGTAAGGTTTTGGGAAGGGGTCTATCTCAGAACAGTGTTACCATTTATTTGTTTCTGATCCATCATGTACATGAAATATTAACTCCTACTATATATATGTGGTTCTCAAGTTCCACATATACATTTTGGTATATATCTTTGAACGTTTTCATTCCATCACATTGATAGTATGCTTCTACCCTTTTCATTTTGAAAATAAATCTTTGAAGTTCTGATATGCTGAATTAAGCATGTGTAAAATAAAATGTTGAACATGTTCTTCCTCTTTTATTCCCTGGTTTTGTGTCTCCACCACATTGTGTATAGTTAAGCATCCTGGCTCAACACAAACTAGAATTGTTGTTTTGTCTCTTCTGTAGTTATCTTATTTCGACAAATTAAATACCTATGTATTGGAGGTTTAAACAAGAGCGGCACTTCATCAATATATAATAAATAAATGATATAAGCTAAGTTAACATCACATCTTACTTCAAAATTTTAAGATATCAAATTAATAAATTTTTCTTATTTATATATTACTTAACATATCTAATTTTATCTGATGTGAAATTCTCTTATCTCCACTTTAACTTTAATATTTTTTTTTCAAGTGTGAGTCTTTTTTTTTTCCATAGCATATTCCTCTTCAAATGGATTTTTTTTTCTTTTATGAGTATTTAATAACAATCTACTTGCATTATCTAGTTCACATTAACAAAACATTTCCTCTATCACATCTAACACTATGAAATGGTAAGAAAAAGATAAATTCTTTATATCAAGATAAGATAAATTAGTCTCCTAAAATTTTTATATTATACATTTCACATTTTCTCCTTAAAATGAGGTATTTACCTTAATTTAAAAATAACTTTTTTTGTTAAAAAAAATTAATTTTATTTCTTCCAGAGGTGAACAACATATCCTCCAAAACTAAATATATCATTGAACAAGAAAAAAAAAAGAGAAGTAAAAAACAGCAAAATTTAGGAGGAAAAGAGACCCCTTTAAACATGTGGGCATTACCCCAATCAAGCTCACTAAAGGATTACATTACATACATCACCCATTGCTTCAAAATAATCCTTGTTTTCTTTTTTCTTGAACATGGACCAACAGAAACTGCTCCCAGGTAGGACCCATCATATGCTCTCCAGGAATCCTGAAAACATTGTTTTCAATTATCCAAGAAAAACACCTTAGGATCCAATTGCAAAGTATTGGATTCTAGTGTGGGTTTATAAGGACTTGAGCTCTCCAACTACAATGACTTGCTTTGGTGTTGTGATTTTCCCAAGGTTTTTATCAATTAGTATCAAAGCTTTCTGCTATGTCTCAGCTGCAAACGAGTGGTGCAGGTGGTGATGTTGGCATTGTAGTGTTACCTAGGACAAGTCAAAGAGCTATTTCATAGCCAGCCTCTGTGGGTGCTAGGGCTGTGGAGTGTGTGGCGAGATGGTAGGATCAAATTGCAGGGTATGTAACTTGAATCTCCCATGGGTAGTATGGAATTCTAGTGTGAGGTTTATAAGATTTTGGGGTCTCCAACTATAACGACCTACTTTTGTGATGTGGTCCTCCCAAGGTTTATATAAGACAAAGAAGTATTAACTTACGAATATTCACATGTGATTTGTATGTTGCCAGTCCTGTTAAGATCAATTATTCTTATAAAAGACTTGAGCTAGCAAATGGGTTAATGAAATAGAGACCTTTGATTTTTTGGACTAGCAAGAATGCATGAGAACCTAATAGAAGAATTTACGAGAAAATAAACTGGAAGAATCTGATCCCAAACCCTGCTATCTAAATTAGCGGAGGAATTAATATGATCTAGTAAAGCCGAAATGACTTGTAATTGACTGGCTTATTTATCAATCGAGTATCTATGAATTATGAAAGTAAAATCCCAAATATAGGATTTTGACCAGAAGAAACATATAACGGAACATCCCAAATTTCCTCAAAAAAATATAATAAAAATTCCTCATTCTATTTTTAGTAAATCATTGTTACTTAAATCAAATGGCAGTTTATTTGTCAAAGGTGATAAGGTTAATTTGACATTTGTTTTCAGCCAGAGATGGGAAAAATCACATTCTGAAAACATGTAGCTACTAGGTGACATATACCTGAATAACAATTAAAATGAATTCTACATATTTTTTTTGTTTGAATGTCATTGTCAGAAGTCACGTGTGATATTTTTAACAAAAAAAATTCTCCTGTGATGTTGTGTGCAGATGGGCATGGAGCCAGTTCTTGCAATTGACTTTGACATTAAAGATATCCTTTTGCTCAATCAGTAGGACCATCAGATTTCAAACTTGGTGGAGTTGAAAGGTCTATGTGGTTCTGACATGCCTATTTTTATTGTTTTTGCTCCAGTGATTTTTGTTTTGCTAAAATTTACTCTCATTGTTCATGAGTGCGTAACTAAACATGTAGAGTGAGTTGTTAATATATTTATAGCTTTGCCATTGATTAACTGATTTAATTTCAAAATTATTTGAATTTCTCAAATATATATATTTTTCCTTCCAGTGTATAACAAAAATTGCTTCTTGAGTGATTTCACAAATTTATATGTTCTGATATTCCCAGGACTAATAAATAAGAAAATCAAGTGGTAACTGACGTCATTTGTACATTCCAAGCAGATTTTCCAACAAAAGCTAAACACGAACCATTAGTTTTTAAAATGCAAGTTATTCCTGAGGATCAGTTAACCACCTCCCAGAAGTGGGAAAATTTATAGCTTTTGCCAGTGATAAACCAGCATATAATAGGACTTGTTATGTTGTAGTATCTTGTAAATAAATAATACTAGTATATAGTAAATAGTTGCATTCCTTCCTTAATTTTCATGCCAATAAAGAAGACATTTATTTCTCTGAAGTTGTGCTGTTAGGTAATGTTCTTTATGTCACTTCTTAAACAGGATAGAAAGAGATGGAATAAAACTGAAAGTTATCTTCTTTACTTCTAAGTTGTAATCCATTTTTTTTTACTGAAGTTGTTTACATTTAAACCATTACTTGATAATTTGAGTTAGTACTATCTTTTAGTATCAGTACCTCTTTCATTGTATTTTTCCATCGAGACTTATTAACTTTTCTTTTTCTATAAACTTTATCAGAGGGTTTTTTTTTTTTTTTTTGTGTTGATATTTCTTTAACCTTTTTTTTTTTAAACATTATTTTGATTAAAGGTTTTGCTACGAAAAAATCTTAAGATTTATTGCCAAAAAATTGCACTTTTGTAGTTCTGGTTTTTCTTAGCTATCATACAGATTCCTAAGAAAGTGAATTGGGAAGAATACATACCACAGGACTCAGATCAGTGGGAGTCACAGATGGTTGTGTCTAGAATGTTTGATGAGAGGCCTATATGGCCCAAAGATTCACTTACTGAACGCTTGATTGATAAGGGCTTAAGCTTTTCTCATGGCATGCTCAGAAGGTGAAAGGAGCAAATTCTTCTGATTAGCTCTTTTAACTTGCAATAATTGAGTTGCTAAACCATGATATTCATGCAGTGACCTTCCATTCTCTCTTGCAGGCTTCTATCTAGAATTTCTTATTACTTTTCTAGTGGTCCATTTCTAAGGTTTTGGATCAAGAAAGGATATGATCCACGCAAAGACCCTGGTTCTCGCATGTAAGACTTACTCCTAATTTCTAAATGATATCTTGGATTCTGGTTATACATTTGCACTCAGAAAAGTATTTGATTCCTGTGATAAATATATTTCTGATGTATTGTTTAGTTTGTATATATTATTAAACTACCAGCATTCCAGGGTGTCATGTTATTCTTTTTTACCTTTCAATTAGGTAACAAGAAAGAGCTAGATTTAGGATGGGGATCATGATCACTCTGTAAGCCTGTATTGTCTGCTGAAATTTCAGACTGGTTTATAGGATGGGGAATCAATTTATGGAACATTAATTTTGATAATAATATAGCTGGCATAAATGAGTTTGTCCGGACCTTGGCTGGAAAGAAAGGACTGATTATTCTCCCTGGTGGTCCATGCTTTTATGCAATTTGCATGGCTATTTCAGACAACATTTAATTTTTTCTCTAAGTAGCTTGAATTCATTGGTTCTTTACATCCTAAACTCATGTCATTAGAAGAATGGGGCTCTTTAAATATTATTTTATTGTTTTGCTTGTTAGGATGACAATGCATCCCTGGCTGTTAATGAATGTTATTGTTAGTACTTGTTGATTATGGTTCCATGTGTCTATTTGGCATTTTCTATGAACTAAAGTCTGTGGGCAACAGACAATACTGTAAATATTCATTTTATATCCTGTTTTGTTTGTGCTTCTTTTTAAAGTTCCTTTTTGTGCTCCACATCTTATTGTTAATGTGGTTTTCCCTTTTGGTTCATATTTTACCTATCCCCAATAAGGCTCCTATGGTGTTTGCATATAAACATATTACATCTTCACTTGCCTGTAAATACAAAATTAATATGAAGAATTAATACATTTTTACCAGTGTTCTGATAATGCAAAATCTTCATTCTGTCAATTATTTTACTGAATTTTTATTTGTTATATTTCTATTTTTGAATAAGATTGAGTCTCCATTCTGTTGACTACGTTTATATTTTTGGTTTAGCAGTTATCAAAGAATTGATTATCGAGTTCCTGTCCCATTACGAAGTTACTGTGATGCTCATTCTGCCAATAAGTATGTCTTCTTCTTCATTCTATCTCTTGTTGTTTACAAAGCTGTTCACTATAATTTGGAAGCAATTCCTTTCGCGTGAATGCACAAGAAAGAGGAAATAGAAAATAGCAATGTAGATTAATACATATAAGCAAACACAAGTGAAGACCAAGAACTAATTACAATCTCAATTAAATATATTTGCAGACCTTGGATTGATACAGCATATATGGTTATTGTCACTATATATGCTTATTATCTTGCCATTGGAATTGTTTTCTCATTTTTTATTGCTATTGTTTCATGCAGATCTAAACATAGATGGGAGGATATATGTGCCTTTCGTGCTTTCCCTTACAAGTTCCAGACTTCTTTACAGTTATTCGAGCTTGTCGATGATTATATTCAATCAGAAATAAACAAGCCTCCGTTGCAAGCAACTTGCACTGTAATTTTTTTATATGATTTTTTTTCAATATCTGACTTTTTATGTTGACATGATATTGTCCAAACATTTGAAAGACCAGCATGCTTTACTCTGCTTTTGACATGTTTCATATTTTTCTAATTCCCTGGCATGAATTTAGAGCCTTATGTTTATGATGAGTTATTCATTTTTCCTTTTTGCTTAAACCAATGAAGTGGCAGATTTATTCTATACAATCTTGTTATATTCTGAAATTTTGTTGCAGTAGTTCAGGTCAAAATAGATTAGATATCAGAAAAAGTGCTTGATTTTGTCTTTCATGATTGAGGTTACTGTAAGAAATCCCATTAACTAAGTTGCATCTAAAATGTTTATTTTGTAGTTTGCAAATGGGTGGTTCTCACAACACATGATCAATTGTATTAGACAACGTCTTATGGTGAGATTCCTATCAGTATTTCCCAAGCCTGGCGCAGAGAATTTACTCAGAGCTGCCACTTCAAGGTTTGAAAAATTAAAGAGGGAGTCCCTTAGGAATGTCATGAAGCTTGATGGAGTAGAATGCCAGCAACCTAATTTAGGTTATGCTTCTATTTCTCAAAAAGTCCCTACATGATATTTATTTTGAGTCATATATATAATTGAAACTTGAAAGGGAGAATTCTATTTAGGTTCATCCGACTCTTTGAGCCAAAGTTTTCTAATTTTCTTCCTCAAAAGGTTATTCGTAGCAGAATTTAGTAATTTAGTTTGGACAAATTTTATTTAATTAATTTGTTATGTGTTGTGAGCCGAAAGTTTATTTATTTATTTGTTGTAAAACTATAATTTAATATATTTCCGAGTAAAAAATTACTATCTTCTGATCTGTTAAATGATTTTTTAATTGAGTGATTATTGATAAAACTTTTGCATCTTAAACAAAGGTTTGGAAGAGAATGAAGAACTTGACAATGCTGAAGATGAAGAGGAGGCAGCCGTGGGTAATGATAGTGAAGAAGAATGGGAAGAAGAAATTGATTTGGTAATTCTTGTCTATGTTTACTGCTTTTATGTTTTTCATTTTTATATTGTGTTAATAATGACTTTCTGATCCAATATTTTTTGATGTGTTGTTGACACATGTAGGTTGGAGATAATGAAATGCCTCTGCCGTCTAATTCATGTATCCTTTTCTATTTCTACTCCAAATTTAGTCATGTACTCTTATGTTTATAAAGATTGAAACATCATTATTGCATCGCACAAATTTTGCATGTTGAAGTTAACGTTTCACATTGTTAAGCTATTATATTAGACAACATATTGAACCTGCCGGCACTTTTGAATTTCTTTATAATATACAGACATCAACATGGAGAATATTTCAAGGACTCATTTACAGGAACTTTTTGGTAGCTTCCATCCTAATGCAATTGATGGTGAGCAAGTACTTGCAAATGGCAGCGACGAAGAATATCATATATACGGGGAAGATAGTGAGGAGAATTACTCTGATGAATAATTTGTGTCATTCAGAGTCATCAAATACACATATAGGAGTATCAATGTTTTTTTAAGTTACATAGGAGGGTAAATATCATCTTAGGTTTGTTGATTAAATATCATCATGGATCCTAGAATTCACATTGTTATTACAAGAAGTATCTCTAATTACATTTGTAAAAACAGAGAAAAATATAGTGGTAGATGGAAAGTAGTTTTCATTTAATTATCTATTTTTGTTGATAACTATAAAACAGTGGTGGAAATAGAATTGGTGAATGATGAGATTGAATGATGAACACTAAAAAATGGAAATAGATTACGATTAGTATTCTGCTGAAAACATTTTTGTGATGGTACTTGTGACAATGAAAAATAAACTCGAGTGAAATCACACTAATTATGAAATAGAAATATGTCTATTAAATTCCTCAAAGTTACACGTATGACGTATATTAACTTTCTCGCCACTAAGAGAATCCAAATCCTTGGAGGATGGATTCTGGCCAAGTAATGATAAGCCCCTGTGGCGGTATTTATTAATAAAATTTTTTATTTTATAAATTTTAATGAATATTAATAACTGAATTGAGCTATATGTATGTATACGTATATATATGGGAAGAATCTTTTTAAATAAGTCAGTGAATAAAACATTTGATTAAAATGCATTTTCAATTTTTTTAGAGTTTAAATTATGTTGTTTTTTTTCTTTTATTTTAAAAATAACACTCCAGCCTTTTGGAGATAAATACGTGCTTAATTTACTTCATTTAAAAGTAAATAAAACTTCAAAACTCAAACTTTTTTTATGACTGACAACATTACTTAATTTCACGGAAATCATTTTCGGGAAAGGTTTGTCAAAAAAATAAAAAAATAAAATGCAGCAGTACAAAGAGAAAAAAATGGGTTAATAGAATTGCTGAAGAATCAATTCAACCATTAGCAGCCTGTTGAATGTAGACAAAAAATAAAAAATAAAAAATAAAAACATTAGCAGCCATACTCAATATTATATTAGTCGAATGGATAAATCAAATCTAAATTCATTCCACTACAATTCGTCAATCCCACTTGAATGGGTCTTATCCAAATAACCATAAAAAAGAAAGTCTTCATCGACCAGAACCTAGTAGAGACTTTTAATTTTTTTTATTTTTTATATAGAAATAGTTGCAGTGATTTTTTTTTAATCATGTTATCAGTATGTAATATTTGTTTTTGTTGAAGATTAATTTTTATTGGAAAACTTGTCTGGTTACCTTTAATCACACAAAATTAATTTATATATTATTATAATAAAAAATAATAGGGTATTCACTATTCAGTTACTTCTTTCTTCGGTTTATGATGAATATGATATATAATTATACATGGTTATTATGAAGATATTTATCGTTTTGGAATTATAGGCTTACAGCAAGCAGGGATTTGCGTGAAAAATTCTATCACTGAGGATTTTTATTTTCTTTTTCTCTTTTCCCCCCACCAGTGATTACATTACATGTAAGCAATAGATATTCCATTACCATACTCCTTAATCATTAAATGCGCAGTTTCTTTCTCAAATTCACTATTTAATTATTATAATAATATTGTAGTCACTCTTTTCCTAGTTTTGTCACATTCTGCTCTCTTACTTTTTTGCACTTATTTCACACGTTGCTAAAACCATTATAGTTTTCTAAATTCGTGGTTAAGTAACAAGTAGCGTTACACTCATCTGATCTTAAAGTTTACTTCTTCTGTTTTAATAATTTTCTCTGTGTATAATGAGAAAACAATAATCATTCTGAACCAAAAACGATATTAACTTATTTATTTGTATGCAAGTCTCCTTAACTTATCCTTATTCCAGTTAAAAATAGATTGAATGATTAGCGTATGGAGTTGGGCAAAATTATAAGTACATTAATAATTATGTAGTGATGGGACCAAGATGGGGTAGTGATACAGCAGATTTGAATCACACTCTTGAAAGTGACTAGAAAATGAAGTTCCCGGGGTTTGGGGGAAAGGAAGAGGATGACTATGACAAGGACGGTTTTATTACAATGGATATGCAGTTTAGCTCGAAAGCTCCTAATTCTTGCAAACACTTAAGAGAGCAGAAAAGCAGATACTGTATTGGTGGCTTCTTAATTAAGTTATTTGTACAAATTAAGAACTTGAGCTTTAGATCCACAATGGATAAAATTTCCCAAAAAATATTCATAGAAACATAAAATAAATCAAATATCTTTCATAAGTTAACAGAAATTAAAATAAACTTTTGGGGAAATTAAATGAGTTCTTTTTAACATAAAAGTAGATATTATGGATGATAGTCCTATTGTGTTGATTAATTATTGATTTGTATTCTTAACTTTTCTTTTTACCAAGGTATTTGAAAATATGATCTTACACAAATTATCCAATTTTTTCACCACTATACCCAATTTTAGTAACTTTTTTCAATAATTTCAATCTATCATTTTTCAATATTAATTTCCATTAACTCTAACCTGATACGCTGTTTAGTTTATATATTCCACTTAATTCTGCAAGAAAAGTAAATACTAGCAGCTACACTGTTCCTGTTTCCTGAATTGCAAGCAAATTTAATATGCTGAAGAAAAAGGATAGAAAAAAAATATTCAATGAACGAAACCAAGTCACAAGAAGAATATCCGGTGTATTGCTAAAACAACAGGAAGAAAAGAAAACAGAAAACTATATTTAATGTACAATTACATCAGTGACAACTTTCTTAAATATAATTACCAATAGAAAATGTCAATAAGGTTAATTTGTTTGTATAGATCCTCAGACACTGACATGCCTATCATATTCTTCCTGAGGGAGAAACTATATATATTTAGAAAAGACACTCGAGTATTAATAAGGTGCTTAAACAAGCAATCCAATCCATTTTCAAGCCCTTCAATGACTACCACCACAGCCTCAAGCTCCTTATGTGCAGATTGAATATTCTCAGCCTCAAACTCCTTGGTTGTGTTATCCATCACCATTCTACAAAGTGCTAGGTCCACCTTTTCAATTTCATTTACATTCTCTTCATGATTGTTGCATTGAAGTAGCACCCCTTTCTTCATCACTCTTGACACAAATGTCCACTTATTACTAACCTTTGACCTTAAGATCGGTGAAGAGAGAAACCCCACTAGTGACTGAAAAATGGAGCTCGTGATCAAACTAGCTTCTCTTAGAACCCTCACAACTGAAGAGAGATGGTGGTTAAGATCCAAAGGAGGAGAGGCCCCTAATGATGATGGCCCTTCAGTGTGCTTCAACAAAACCAAAGATTTTGTGCATTGTTTCCTTGTGATTCTTCTTAGACTCAAATATGAAGACACGTGGCTTTCAATCACCAAGTCTCCAACCTTTCTCCTTCTGAGTGCTGATTGAAGGTCTCTAACACTTCCTTTCATTACCAAGAATGCATCCCTTGTTTCTCCCAGAATGTCCAAGAATCTTACAGGGAAATCTAGCAACTCATCAAAGCCATTTGTGGTTGTGGTGATGAGATAATGCTTGTTGAGTGAGTGGCAGTTTCAAAAGATCTTCTATGCATTTGTATAACTCTGCAAGACCTGAAAGACCAAAGAGAATTCTCTCCACCTCAGAGGAAGAAAATGCTTCCCATGTTTTGAGCTTGTTCAGCTCCTCCTCTATTGGAACTGTGCTTGGATGTAATCTTGTTGGCAAGCTTATGGAGCGAAAAGTAGAAGAAGCCATAGCTTCCTTTTTCATATCTCAGTAAAAAGGTTGGCGTGAGTGACGAGTGACTCTTGTTGTGGTTGCGGTTCAAACTCGTGTATGTAGAAAGTTTGAACTAAGAGGAAAAATTCACCTGTCTGCAAAACTTCTAAGAGAAATTAGTACCTGTGTTTTTGATGAGGATACTCTTTAGTAATGAAAAAAAATATATGTATATGAGTGAAAGGGTGCTAATATTATGTGCCAATGATGAGTGTTGTGTTGTTTAGTAATACCAAGGCATGTATGTATGTGTGTGGTTTTCCGATATTGTGGGTTTGTGATTATATATAATTGTGGTTTATGGATGTTGTTGTGAGGTCATGTCATGTGTTAAATGGAAACCCTATCTGCTATGTTACATAGGGAGTAAGGTGGACCTCCCAAATTGGCTCTGCTGTCTTTTTGATCTCACCGTCCCTCATGCTGCGTCACTCAACTTCCATACAAAATCATGCACCCCATGGCCCATGCACAGTAGTGGCATGTAGCAGCCTCTAGTTAGGGAGAAATTATTAAATAATATGAGATTATGCATGTTTATAGTTGCATCAATCTTTATATGATATATGAACCACGGTATCGGCTTAATCGCTATGCTGTGATCAACTACATTCAACTAAGTTTGTGATTCAATCATATCATTTATTTTGTTCTTTTAGTCTAAAGATTGAAGTAAAAATATTGTGTTGAAAAAAAGAAATTTACATTTGCATTTTTTTTTGTTTTCATTCCTATTATATATATATATA